ACCCTCGGACCCCCTTTCATTTTGGGTATTTTTGGAAACGTTTTGAACCCCCTCTTCCAAATCATGGATCCGCCCCTGAATCATGTACCTTTGTTTGCACTAAACACTTAATCTATGTTCTCCCTTTAGCTGATGTGAGGTAAGAGAGTTTATTTAAAAAGATAACAGTTACATTTAATAATTTAAATTGTTCGGATGAAATACATATTTTTTTTATGAAGTTTATCCTCGTTTAAGACAGTTCAAAGTTTGTACCATACTGTGTGTCTTTGTATATGTTCCATTCTAGTGGAGGTTCTATCTCTTTTGAATTTCTTTTCAATATAAATTAAATACTGTACATAATTAATTTATTATTGCCCACTTGAATTATATAGCCCTAGGTGTTGCAGTGTTCTTTATGTAGAGCGCCATATATAAGTGCTCGATGTGCTCATCCGTGTCCGATGGCACCTCCAATTTCAAGCAAGTGTTTCTGGAGTTAGGTTGCATATGAGAATGAAGAAGATAATTCTGATAGCAACATTGATTTATTGCTTTAAGTACTGCGACAATAACATTCAGAGGCGAATTTATAAAGTTTAGATAAAAAGTATTTATTAAAGTTTTCATAGGTTTGTTTAACGCCAGTTTGTGTTACCTAACTATGTAACTTAATTCATTCTAATTAAAGAGAGAAACGGGTTTGCCAATAATAGGACCTTAACATTATTTTGCTATAGATCGACTACAATGTAAGTTAATATGTAATATATTTAAATCAATTTAGATCAATCTTAATGATGTGATTTTAAATAGCAGAGGCGGATTTAGTGGGGGGAGGGGGTGGGGAGTGGTGAAAAAAAATAAAAAAATAAAAATTGATGGCCCTAACGCATATTAATATTTTCGGGCTTCCGCAACTAAAGAACAAAGGGCCTAGGCTATTTAATATTATGATGTAGGTGATAGATTAATTAAAAGAAGTTTAACATTGTCCTGTGTATATTATTTGAATTTCTTAAATTTCAAACGAACGGCCCCTGATTTTCCTGTAATTTTTGCAGTATTTCAAATGAATATGTACCCACATAGCTGTCTTCTAACCGGATTAAAATCTGGCCGAATTTTGGCCGATATTGAAAAAAAGTTTGGCCGAATTTGGCCGTGAGATGGTGTGTGTTTGGCCGTGAAGCCTGTCGACTATCTGGCAACCCTGATACAGTCTGATTCTTTCCGAGAGTTCATGGTCCCCACCTCAGCGCCACCATTGTTGGACAAATTTGTAAAATAGGCAAGAATAAAACAGTGATGATGATCTTCTTCCCCGATGGGTTAGGGTCCCGACGGGGGTGTGGGGTTCTCTCTTATTAACCCCCGCACCCAACAGTGTAGGAGCGTAGGACATAAACCTGGTGGTTATTGTCCTGGGTGGTTTTTGTCCGATTTCCAGGATGAAGTACCACTGGCACTACCACTTGTCGTTTTCAAGACGCGCTTTTGTTTCCTCTATGAGGAGTTAATCGAGGAGGAGACGGCAAACTTAATGAGGAATGACTGAAGTGAATGGGAAAGTCAGAGTGAGCTGAATATACGGTACTGTAGATATAACATTAAATCGAATTATTACCGATAGATGAATGTTCAGTGCTTCTAGTTCATTTTGTACCAGTGGCGACCAAAAGTGACACGCAGTGACAGCCAGCTATGGCCTACCATTATTGAGCAGACACAATGCGACGAACCAAAGAAAATGGGTTAGTCAGTCTACAAAGGGTTCAAGTTTGTTGAATGGTAACAAAACCATTATCGTATTATAGCAACGTAGTCCCTGTTACAACAGTGTGTCAATAAGCTAAAAATGTACCATGAGTATCCGTTTTTCGAGAATTCTGTTGTTATGTTACGCCTTGCTTTGTTTTTTTTTTCTAAAAACTTCCCTATCCATCATTAAGTAGGCCAAACGAAACCTACCAGTTCAATGCGATTTTAAAATCAATAGTCTTTTGACTTGTTGTGTGAATGTGGTACTCCAGGAAAGCGTTCATTTAATATTATAGACAGACTAGAATGTTGCAAAAACCCAATTAGGCCAAAAAAAAAAATGTTTGTTTGCCCTCCTCCACCCGCCCCTAACTCACTGAAAAAAGGGGGCGGAAAAACGCAAAAAAACTTTTTAAAAAGTTTTTTTTTTTTAGATTGTTCTTTACAAAAAAAAAAAAAATGGTGAGTGAATTTATCTTTATTTTATCTTTATTTTTTGCCATATGCCCTACAAATTAGTCTAAAGTTGTTGTCTGATGTAAGATATTGCCATTCTAGGCCTCTGTAGGATTTTTTAAAATTCCATCTGATGAGTAACAAAAAAGAAAAAAAAAAAAAACAAACAAAAAACAAAACAATTAAAAAAAAAATTTCCACCCGCTGATTTTTATCATTTAAAAAAAAGAAGGGCAAACAATTTATTTTTTAGGCCTTATCATCCACGGAGTTGGTCACCAGGGATGTCCGGTAGTAGGCCTAGTTCCTCTTCTCGGTAGTGAATAAACAAAAACAAAAAAAAAAAGCAATTCACGGTAAAAATGCTTTTTCAAAGCAGTGTTCCTCGACAAAATTATTGACTTTTTCCCAATGCTCCTTCTCCCTTCACGGGCCTCGCGAAGGTCCTAGCACACTGTGGGGGCAAAGTGGGCCCGCCGCGGGCCGCATGCAGGCCGTCAGCGATTTGTTTGCGGCCCGCGACAATGAATTAAAAACCCAGGCCTATGTGTGCGGCCCGCCAAGCAAAATTGGCTAGAAAACACCTTGTTTTTTACGGCCCGACACCCATCATATGTAAAAAGTAACATTAAAACTGAGAATAAAGTGGTTTTTGGAAGCTCACTGGAAACATCAAAGTTGAACTCACAAACTGAACTCATGCACTTCCTTTTCTTTAAAACATGTATAATGTTTGCTGTAGGCCCTAATGTATATCTTTAGACACTCGTACGCTAATGAAGGTAGAAGGAGGCTACCGAAAATGTCGTACCAATAAAAATTAATGTCTCAAGTCAAAGTGTCTTGCAGTACTTTCATGTCTGTCAACAATTCTATAACCGAGGCATAGGCCACGTGGAACCGCCTGTGTTTTGAGTGGAACGCCTTGTGGTGACAGATGTCAATATGACCATGAACTTTTCCACATAAATGGCGCACAGCCGTCTGCTGTTTCTGGGTGTTGTGCCGGATATAAAATAAAAAAATAAATAAAATAAAATGTCAGTTATCATACATGTGAGTCGTGTTTATACTTTAGTCGAAAACCAAGGATCTTCATTTGCTATTTTCCCCAAATTTCAAAAGGACAACTTTTTGCAACATTTTACAAAATTGTTTCTAATTATAGCTAATGATATAGTATGCATTGTATGTTATATTTGCCAGCTCTTCTAACCGTTGATTGAAATTTGTTGGAATGATCAGATCTGATTACAAGTTGATCATATCCATATAAACAATGTTATCTATTATATAGGCCTACAAATTTAAAGGACATAAAACGGTACGGTACTTCTTCAGATCCCTAAAAACACAAAATAATGAAAATTTAAATAGGATATTCACGAATGGGTTTGAGAAATCAAATTTATATCAGGCCCTTAAGATGTTACTTTGTCGAAGCTTCCGAGAGATTTCCCCCCAAACCCCCTCTCCAGGCCCCTGCCCCTGGACCATCAAATTTAATTTTTCCTTTCCTAACGTTTCTAAATGCTGTATTTACTAGCTATTATATATGCATCGCATTATTTGCCGCTCTTAGTGGCGGCGCCAGCAGCATCTGAAATCTGGGGTAGGGCAAACAAGGTAAAATTTTAGGGGATGCTGAGGTGGTCGTTGTCGGGCGTCGCTCAAAATGCCTCGAAGGTGGTCCAGGGGGCAAAGCCCCCGAAAAAATTACAATTTAGAGGTTTCAGAGGCTTATTTAATCGATTTATGAAAATCTATAATCGAAAATAGGCCTACATACTGCATACGGTACCATTTCTTTTTCTCCCCGACGAAAATTGTCTTTCTTCCCCTCGTGGCTCCCCCCCGGGGCCCCCCCCCCCCCCCCCGTAGCGCCGCAAATGCCAGCTGTTGATTCAATCTGATCACTGTTGGAAATTATCAACTCCAGTCATTTGAGATGGATCCATTTTAAATGATGTTAAGTACATAAAAAGTTACAACTTTATAGGTCCCTAACAAGTGACCCAAATAGAATAGAAATCCATTTATAAGGCGCTCAAAATACTAATTTAAATTGTCGGAGCTTCCGGGGCCTCGCCCCACCACCGCGGGGGTGATAGGCTCCCCCGTCTAAGGTCCGCTTTGCTTGCAAAACTAACCTCCCCATCAAAAATCCCTGAAGGGCCGGATTCCGGGAATAAAGGCATAAATTGAACATTCATTCCCGGCCCTTTACTGTCGGAAATGAGTAGGCCTACCCCTTTTTGCCCTACTTCTGGGTTATCCAGTGATTCTGATCAAGGACCATAAAAGTGAACTTGCGCGTGAGGTGTGTGATGGACGCTCTCGATCTGGTAGGTATTCGTCCTAAATTTGATGAGGATTTCGTTTTCATTTCTTTAAAGTACAGTAGTCAGGTTCCCATACCCCCTCCCCTCCCTCCCCTCACACTTATACTGAAGCAGGTCCGTCCGATGCGGCGCTTTTCTTTTCTCAAGCCATGTTTTCCTCTGTACGTACGCTGGTCTTCCACTGACGGATCTAGATTGTGTATTTGTGGGGTGGCACGAGTGTGTGGCAATCGAAGACCATGGTGTAGGGTGGTCTTTCTAGGAAATTTTCGCCGTTAATGAAACTGATTAACGTAACCTTTTGATCACTGATGGCGTGTCATAGAATCTAGGCACTCATCTTCATAACTCAAGTCGGAATTCGTACATCAAAGAGGTCGATACTGCAATAGGACGAATTCGATTTGCCACAAGAGCGAGAATTCTCGCTCTAGTGGCCAATCGAATTCGTTCTATTGCGGTATCTACCTCTCTGTTCCGAGGAAAAGAGTAAAAACATGGCGGCCTCCTCCAGCAACCAACATGGATCAAAACCTCCAGAACTTATGACAAGAGTGAATATTACCACTGATAATTTAACAAAGACAGACCGAGAATATATGGCCAAAGTTACAAAGGCACACATGGAGAAAATTAATCAAATAAAACGGGCAAGTTGGCTGAAACGAAACGTCGCTGTGGCTTTGCTGCTTGGAGCAGGAGTTGCAGGAGTCTGTATCCTTCCATTTCGACGGCTGGTTTCAAGCCTGCGTTCAGTTCGCTCATGCTAGCCTTGTTTTTTAGGCCTAGGCCTAAGCTAGACGATTTGACTAGCTAAGATTTTAGTACAATTAACCTCGGCTAACCATAAAGCTATTTGGCTGTACCCAAACTAAACCAGGACCTAGCGTAGGTCGTGCTAACCTAAAGTTAGTAAATTAAAACGTAAAATTAAAAATTGGCTGTGGATATTGTTCCCACGACAAGACAACTGTGTTGATTGGTTTAGGCATTTTCTATTGACTATGGTTTAGGCTAGCTGGCATGACCCTAAGTTAAACTTCAGTTTGCAATCTTAAATGCAATCATGTGGGAAGAATATCCATAGTGTTAAAAAAACATTGACTTGCTTGGGCGCCAGAACTGTAAAGTAAGGCCTAGGGATGTGAGCTGTCCGTCGTGACAAAATGAGTCTTGACCATGTGATACAAAAATAAAAAATGAGTTAATATTGATATATTTATAATTTAGATTGATGACTATATAAGTTTTATTTTGGTCTTTGAATCATGTTCCTAGATTAAGTAAAACTGGAGTAAGATCATTTAAAAATGTCGCAAAACATACTTTAGAGAAAATCGCTTCTAAAGAAAAACTGATAAATTTTGTGTTGAAAGTACGTTCGCAAATTTCGGAAAATAAGGGCCTATAATCTTAATATTAATATAGGCTAGCCTATATAACCAATGTATTCCATTTCATTTCTTTCTCACGAGCGCCAAGGATCTGCCAATCAGCGATTTTGAGCTAGCTTTTGAGGTATCATCCGTGCAATTAAAAAACTTTACAGTATGGCCTGGGCTGGAACCCCAGGCTGCAAACAAGTCTGCGTGGGGAATATATCCTCCACGCAAAAATTTGGCCTAGAAATTATTCTGCAAATTTGGGAAAGTAAGGACCGATTTAACGTGCAGATTTTGCCAAAAATTAGGCTTTGACCTAATCCCAATATATAAGAATGTATTATTAGACAGGTCTCAGCCAAGGAAACGATAGCGAGACTAGGGATTAATGTTATTTATATATTATTTTTTATTAAGATTATTATTTTTAAAGATGTTGTAATATTCACAAGTACTATCCTTTACTAATCTTAATAGACACTTACTCCATTTATGCCGTATCACAAGAGAAATTTCTAGAGGACTTTGATGACCCAAACAAGCCAACATGAGAAGTATCGGAACATCTAATTAAAGACAAAAATAATATTAAAAACTTTTGCAATGATTTGAGAGACGTCTACGGCAACCAATTCCAGAGTTATTCCCAACAATGGCCGTATTCGACTGGTTGTTCTTCGTTAAACCACGCCCAACTGCGCAGTGGTAAAATCCTACTTAGCAAAGACGACCAGTCAAATAGAAAACTTTCTAATTGACTGCATAGTTACTGCAATATACACGAATCAAGATTGTTTCAGTATGGGTTTTTCGTAAAAAAAATATTTTCATCTAGTTTTTGAATTCTGTTAGCCTACAATTATTTTTTGACTTTATGTGGGTAAATATAATATTTATTTTCTGAAATTTAATCTAAATTATATTAATGCAAATGTTGTTTCTAAACTCACCAATCGGCCATGTTTGTTTTGGTCACATGGATAACTTAACACCGATTAACGCATTCTGGTTTACGTTAATTTTCATTGTCAACGAAGGCTATTTTACGGACCAGTCGAATGAAGATAATACTCAACGAAAAATTGTAGTCAACGAAATGAACCAGTCGAATACGCCCAATGTGCTGTGTGGACTTTGAAGAAGTGATATGATTGAAACCCACCACCATTACTGGTTGTTGTATACAAAGGATCATTGTTCATATTAGCCTGTTTTGATCGTGCTTTCACATTTAAAAAACTGCTGTTATCATGGATGAGAAATTTGTTACAATTTGAAGGAGAAATTATTTTTTTTAATTTTGTTGCGTAGCCATTTTTTTTGCTCAGTTTACACAAGAAGCTTTAAGTTTGGTTTCCATACAATCGCTACAGGCTATCACTGACAGATTTCGATGATGCTGATTGGTTGGTTTGATTGGGAGCCTTCCCGATTACGTAGAGGACTGCTACACAGTACAACGATTGCACTGAAAACACTAGCGACAGTGTAGGGATTTTAAGGAAACAAGGCTTTATATCTGTATAAATAATAAAGTACGGTACAGTATAGAGAAAATTGTAGACAAATTACTTGGCAAGGATGATTGATTTCTTTTTGGTGAAAGTATGCAGGCAGTTGGCCTTTAAATGAAGGGTTGCAGATACGTCACACCACTTTTTCAATGCCAATAAGCTGTGTGTTAAAAAAATAAATATTGAAAATAGATTTCCCCCTATTTTGTTGAATTATCATCATTGTAATTGTATTATCATTATACAGTATTGTAGTTACAATAATGTAAATTTCTCCTTCATAATAGCAGATAATATGAGCAACATTTGGAGTTATGGAATGAAATAAAAACAATAAAAATTGTTTATTTGGAATCAAGAATGTCATGTACAATATATTACTTATGGGGAATCATATTATACAAATGCAATACAGTAAACTATACAACCAATATCAGTTCACTAAATGGTAGCTTGTGGGTTGAATAAAGTTTCATTGTTAGTGTTGTACCATATTGTCCATCTCGTAAATTTGTTACTACATAACATACTACCTCGTATGTAGGAATGGATTAAATTTACATTTCAAGAAAATTTAAGTTGCCATTTTTTTTTTCATTCAGCAAACTGAGCTGAATATGTCAATACATCCTCCATCTGTTCCCTCTTGCATGCCCTTCAAATGTACAGTAATATATTGCACTCTTTTTTTTGTGCTTGCAGCGACAACTTCTGTTTACTTTATTGTCCTCCTTATGTCCTGCATATTGCTCTTGCTAGCTGGGTTCACATTCAGAATTTAACGTGATCTAGTGGATCATGATCAAGCCACCAACCAGAATCAAATAACGTGCTCAGCTTAATCACCTTATTGTGATCTAATGGAGCATGTTGATTTATCATGATTAACCTTGGTTAACGTGATAAATTAATTCATGAGATTGAATTCAACCAATCAGCCTTCAGTTTATTAAACAGGTCCCAACCTCATTGGTTGTGCTTCTGGTAGTTTTCATGCAACACTGCATGCATTAGCATAAATAGATCATGATGATGGTTTCTATATGAACGGTTTTCTCCAACATGTTAAAGTTATCATGATGAATAGATCATGATAAGTTTATCACGATAGCTTATGTGAACGTACCTATTGTCTCATAAACATTGGACTTTAATGGAATTAAATTGATTGGAATGTGGAACTGCTCATTTGAACAAAACTGTAAAGTTAACCTAAATTACTATACAAACTGCAGGCAATAGGTCTCAGCTTGCTTGTTCAAGGGATGTGTCTTGCCCATAATTATTAAAAGGTCTCTGAACTGCCTAGTTTTTTTCTAGGTGCCTTATGTATAGGTCACCCTTCGATAGAAATCCTGGTAAAGTAAACACCCACTAGGTTACCACCAATTTAACAAACATCCTCCTCTCTGAACCTTATGTTACGTTTGACAACAAACTACAAAAATATACACAAAACAGCTAAATGTTTAATTTTACAGGTCATTTATTTTTTTATTTTGTGCAGAGAGACCACAGTAACTGTACAATTCTTTTCATCAGAAAAAATTCATAGTATTAGAAAATATTTACACTTGGTACAGTATACAGTATTAAATATTCACCAAAAATTCTGCTAAAGGGTACAGCTTCAAAAAACAAACTATGCTAAACTTAAATAATGATTTATAATGCTAACTTTAATAATATATATTAGCATCATCTTTAAGTTAAGTACAGTAATACTGTTATTACCAACAAAAAAAAACTGCATGATGAAAGTATAAATGACAAAATTGGCATTTAGTGGATACAGTACATTATACAAAACTCATAATTAGGATGTGGTCAATCGGTCACTGTTGTCGAGAATGAAATAATAAATTTAATGGGCTGAAATTAACAGTTTTGACCATATTTATAATAAACTACTAGAATGCTGTACAACAAATAGTTTGTTTTGGTCCATATTCATCTTTGAAGTTGAGAATTACAATATATATAACAGCCATCAATTGCGATGATGTTGAGAATGAAATAATAAATTAATAGGCTGAAATTAACAGTTTTGACCACATTTATAATAACATGCTACTGGAATGCCGTATAACAAAATAGTTGTAGTTTATGTTCCTAAGTGCTTTGGTCTATATTCTTTTTTTAAGTTGGGAATTACAATAAATATAACAGCCATCAACTGGTAGGAAGCGCAACTTTCAGGCATCGATAGTGAAGTTTGGATGCACAACAAGTAGGGGATCCTTCTCATCGATCAGTTCATCTGATTCACTGTCTCCTTTCCTCTGTTTCAATCCGGTTTTATCCAGTTCGATGATCACATGGTCCTTTATTGAAAGGATATTAAAGAGGTTTAGTAATAATAATATAATAATATGGAAGGAATCGTAACCTAATGGTACTGGGATAACATGTTGGAAAGAGAGTCGCTGAGGTACGGTAGATTCAGGGAAAGAAGGAAAATATGCCTCACTTCCTCTCCCTCCATTTGGACTAAAAATTTGAAGGAATGAGAGAGAAACATGTTCCTCATCTGCTTCATTTTGGCTCCAGATTTAGGAAAGGGAGAGGGAAATAAGAATGTGTGCAACACGTCGAAACAAGCTGTTCATAAGTATCATTATTGAATATGCATTACTGCATTTGTAATCCTTATTCTTCATTTTAACTAAATTTTGACAAATAAACAAATATAAAAAATCATGTTTGGTGGGGCATTTATCCAATTATTTACCATGTACTGTACTGTATAATGTTACACTATGTCAGAGATATTTAAAAGACCTTAACAAATAAGTGAATGGCCAACATACTGTAGTACTTTATATAAAACCATTAAACCAAACAACTGCAACCGCTATTTCCTTTTTGAAATATTCAATTTTAAATTGTAAATATAAATAAACATACATAATATTTAAATAATAAATAAATATTTGATGTAATACACAAATACTGACTGCTTATGAGAGGAATGATGAAATCTATTGCCGAGTTGATGTGGAGGCCGTAGCCGGCCCTCAGGAAGATAGGCTATGATTTCCACGTTACCGAGGGGCTATAGATTTCACTGTTTCCCTAATCTAGAGCAGTCAATATTTGTTTTATACTCATACATAGATTCAACAACACCCTAAAAAAGTAATGAAAATAGTAGGCCTAGGCTTACTTCCTATGTGATCAATGGGCTAATCTCTTTGCATTGTAAAGGTTGAGTCCCCTTTACAGTGCATGCATGTCATAAATTACATAGCAACTCGGCCTAGAGATTGCATGTAGCGCGACAGGGCAAAAAACACTATCAGTTAGTGTTATAGTTCTTGCTATTGCCCGCTTCTTAACCAATCAGATGCCTAAAATCTATGTATGCGGTATATAAAAGGTAAATATTTAATTTCAAAAAGATCTGAATGTGACACGTACGTGGTGGATAAGCCTGTCAATGATCTTCTCCACTTTCGTCTTTCTTTCTATCAGTTCAGCCTCGCTTTCAATTTCATCCTCCAGTTCCCGCAGGTACCACTCAACAAGAGAGGATTTACGCACACCCTCAAAGCCCTCCTCTGGAAGAAATGCAACATATGTTACAAAAGAGTTTTACTTAAAATTGGGAAAAATATAAAATTAGAACATTGTATTGCCCATTTTAAAAGGATCAAATTATTTACCAATGAGACAAGCAAGCACCCTGTATCCTTTGGCAAAAGGAGCTATACAATTATCTGTTATAATTATTACAATAAATCATTGAATTGATTATCATCAGTCAATTTAGGGTCAAAGAATATTGGAATGTTTATATATAATTATTTATATATCTGCCAATTTCTAAACAAAAGCAATATGTTTTTTAAATCAACACTGGTAAAATTTCTGTTCATAAGTGCAAACATAAATTTTGAGTGGACAAGATTGGGGTTGGCTTAAAGTGCAAACTTGGCATTAGAATATTAGTTTGGTTTGCTTGTAGGTATGATAAGCCATTATTTTAGAAAAAAATGTACATCCATTATTACTGACCTTCTTTATCCTCCTGTTGCCTCATGTAAAGTACCAGCAGGTTGGAAGTTGTTTTATACTCCTCATAAGACATGCTTAAAGATTTCTTGGCTTGTGGAATTTCTGTCTGCTCTTCTGGTTTCTCCTCAGTAGTAGTATCCATGGGAACACTCTCCTGTTCATCATTTTCCAATTCTTGAAAGAAAAAAAAAAGGGGGAATTTGAAGAAATTAGATGAGGGAATGACAGTCAAAATGAATGATGGGTTAAAAATATTCAAAGGCATTGTATGATCATATGTAGATGTAATTGAATTAACCATTTTAAAAATGAAAAGCAGTTAAGGGTCTAAGCCAAGACCGCTGAGCTAACCACCAAAATGAATGCTACATACCTGGTTCGGGCAATTCTTCCTCATCCTCGAAGTTGATGACTGGCTGTTCGACACGAATGATGGACTTGTTAAGCAGTCTGAAAGCTTCCTTGACATGTTTTGGTTGTACCTGGTAAATATATCATTTACAATGTTATAGTCATTTAAAAGAGCTATATAAATACTAAAATTTAATTTTTTTCAGAAGTACAATGCAAGATGCAATAAATGGTACCTCATCCTGACAGTGCATGCGAGCCATGCCCTCGGACAAACGGATCATACTTTCTAACTGGCGTACGGTGATGCGCCAGGAGGACATAGCTGTTCCGGTGCTGTCCCTTTGACGCAGTCTTCGATATTCTTCCACCATGAAATCTTGAGATTCTTTATTGATCTAAAAATTTAATGAAATGAAGAAATATTACATAAGTTTTCAAGTAACTATTAATGGTTGACACAACAAAGTGCAACTGAAATGGAACTCATTTTATTTATCAGTTCCTGACTGGAGTCCCACCTCGACAGTTATTCTAGATTGTCAAAAATTTCATTAATAGTGAAAACAAAAATGTGTATGAATTCTAATCTAGAGGGCCCCCTGTGTGTAAACATAACAGAAACATCACACAGACTGCATATAAATGTTTTTTAAAAAATAAATATATGCATATAGAGTACCACAGTCGTGTCGCAACGATGCCAGGTGCTGCACTCTGTTGTATTTGGTTACTGTTCATTACGCCTGAATGACTTCATAGGTTTTCTGGAATAGGCATTTTAAAATCTAATATTTTACCATCAAAATGTACTAAAAACACAAATGCTCGCATTATATTAGTTATCGAACACACACATTTAATCATCTATTAAAATTTACAAGGAAAAAGATACAACATCTTAATAATTACGTTAGAAATTGGGATCAATGGTTTGTCAGTGGAGAAAATGGCATCCGGTTGAAAGCATTTTGCAATGATAGCAACAGAGTAGTATCACATGGTATCGTGATGTAACACCGTAGTACTCTATGAATTGTGTAACAATGCACAATAACAGATATCCTTGCAGATATCATGTGACACTACTTCGTAACCAAGCGATTGATGGATACAGCCGAGTGCCTCCACAGCTCACGTATCAGAAATGCACCGCTTGGTATGTTGCACAATAACTACATAGTGATACTTGTTACAATGATGTAGTACTTTAATGGTTCTTACCTTGGGCTTAAATTGCCTGGCAAACATGATGTACCTCTGAATGTCTTCTACAGAATACACCCTTTGTACCGACTCTTTGTTGTGATGATGGAGGTCAACAATTCTTCGAGCAATGGCATAGTCCGTTACCTGCAAGTAACAAGGCAGAAGTTATAGTTAACTTGAAGGGGGAAAAACAAGACTAAGAAAAATTGGTGTTTACTAGAATTTAACCCAGAACTACATAATTAAAAAGGTTGAGTATCTTAACCAGCAACATAAATGAACTAAAATTAACTTGTCTCATTTACAGTACTTATTTTGTTACATGGTCTATATTTTAATATTTTTGCAGTGGCTATTGTTACACTAGTTTTATTAGAATTAGGGATCCAAAACTGGTGTAACAATAGTCATTGCTTAATTTGTTTACAAGCTACTTAATTTTGTTAGAAGATCTATCAACAATAATTTCTGAAATTAAATAAAAATATACATAACAACAACAATAATAAAAAGAGAAATAATAACAACAATAGCAATTATATACAAACGAATATGAATACAACAATAATTACAATAAGTATTTAATTTTATCTTTATTCTTACCTCATTGCACTCATCAATGAGTACAAAGAACAGATCAAATCTAGACATAATGGGGGCACTCATTTGAATATTTTGCCGAAGAGGTTTGGATTTGTCATAGCGACCACCGACAGGATTAGCAGCAGCAAGAATCGAGGTACGAGCATTCAAAGTTGCCTGTATAAAAAAATTAAAACATGGTGTTACTTGTGGTCCTATTATTATATCCATCGCATTTAGAATCAAATAATGCTTATAGGACCAACAGTAAAATGAACTTTGTGAATTTCTCAAGCCCTGACCCCATCCGTTTCACCCCAATATTTAATCACCTCTTCCTTATACCACTCCACTAAATTTCACAATAATCCATTTGTCAGCTTTTGCATAATCTTCCGTACAGACAGACAGCGATAAATACATAATCGCTAGAGGCATAAGCTGGTTTCAGCCTGGGGGAGGGGGGTGCATAAAATCTTAACGCAGCGGAACTAAATCAATATTTCATTTAAAACTTAATGATCATTTTTAGTATTCAAACCCACTTAGTGGAACTAATTTTCTGCCAAGTGGTTGGGGGTGCATCCACTTCCCCAGCCTACGCCCATGACCGCCTTGGTTGCGGTAAAAGTAAATAGATAGTAACCTTGACACCAGCTTTTGTAATTGAGATCGTCTGCTGTTCCATGGCTTCATGTATCGCTACCTGATCCTTCAGGTCCATCTTATCGAACTCATCAATGCAACAAACGCCCTGAAATACATATGTAATCCCACAATTTGTTAAGTAAATCTTTGTTCATTCCCGTAATATTCAACAAGTAATGGACTAATTATAATCAAAGGATGCTTACAAATAAGACAAACAATACACAAAATACACAAACATGTACTTGTAAAGGGATTTATGCACAATGAAAGGCATTGGAACATACCGTAGCTATGAACCCTCAGGGATGTAGTTAAGGTGGGCGAAGGTGGATGGGGGACACCCAGCCTTGAAGTTTACCACCCAGTCTAATGCTAATTTCATGGCCCTCCACCTACCCTTATTAACCCACTTTTCCATCCTTGAAATCCACTCATATTATTTATAGTTTACCAATGTTATTAACCGCCACCTTTAAAATATTAAATAATATCTACCACCCACCCTTAGATTTCTACAGCTGCAACCCTGACCCAGAAGGGTATATCAAAAATATTCATGATAAACTTACATTGTCAGCCAACATAAGGGCCCCAGCCTCAATGACAAACTCATGCGACTCTTCATCTTTAACAACAGCAGCTGTTAGACCTGCTGCTGTACTTGCCTTTCCACTCGTGTAAACGGCACGCGGACTGAAGTCCTCAACCGCTCTAGATAAGAAAAACAGAGGTTTTCAAGCTATACAATTTTTCATTTATTTAATTAATTAATTAACCTTTTGACAAAGTGTATAGGGCTTGCCATGACAGAACCAACATCAGTGATCAAAACAGAACGTATCCTCCACATTATAAGCTTTAAAATGATAGGTCATTTACTGGGATCGACTTATTATCTGTCTCTTATACACATCTAGATGTGTATAAGAGACAGGTATGATCATATGTAGATGTAATTGAATTAACCATTTTAAAAATGAAAAGCAGTTAAGGGTCTAAGCCAAGACCTTCACTTACCATGTACCGTTGGGAAGAGACTTGATATCAGATGACTATAGAGACTTTTGTCTTGGCTCATTTCATACACTTTCTGCCATTCCTGATCAGTCATCTGTTTCTTAATGCTCTCTGCTGACAACTCATCGCCATGAAGCTGTTTCCCACCAAACTACAACATGAAAATTCAAGTCAATAATTTTTTGTTGACTTATTTCTTGTTTTCTTTCACATCCAAAACCTACAAATATCAGGATAGAATTATACCCTCGTGTTTTTTGAAGGATTTCATACTATTGTTTTAGTTATTAGGTCATTAATATATGTATATTGTTTGGCTTTTTTTTTTATGTCATTTCAGGTAGATGATCTTTCTTCTATGCCACGCCCCTTGGATATTGTTGCTAAGGTGTGAGACATGAACATGCATAAATTGCATGTTTGAGGGACATGCACAAATTCATGGCTATTAAATAACACATGCTGATTGGTCAGTTACATTTGATTGACAATCTAGTAAGAAGTACTGCTGGTAAGGTCTATTACGGGAAGGAATTTTGCTGTACTTACCCTTGGATTGGATGCAGTGACATTACAGGCCAAGAAGGCAAGGCGGTATGATAAGTCACGTACTCCTAATGCTTTTAATCCGCGTACCCCTTCGTGATCATGTCCCTCGGTGCCTTTGCCTCGGGAAGCCTTTTCTGCTTGAGCACCTGCATGACATCATGCGATTAAAAAAATACGTACAAATAATTAAATTTATTGGCACTCCAAATATTCAAGGGCTATTATCTGAATAAAATACAACAGCAATATAAATCAAACGAATACTACACTTACAATGACCTCTTTAAAGATGCACTGTTCCTTGAAAATGACCAAACTCATAAAAAACAATTTTTAAATTAACTTGCTCATTTTGCAGTAACATACAAATTATTAACTTGAGCATAGAAATTATTGAATTAAAAAAAATGTGTTCCCTGATTTTTTAACTGGATAGTTATAATAAAGTTAATAAAACACTGTGTTTCTATCATTTTTTCGCTGTAAAATGATGGTTTTTATGGGTAAGCATTTTTTAAATACACTAATTTCTATTTCAAGTTGGTAAATTTTATGTTGCTTCAAAATGGGCAAGTAAATTTCAAAAATGATTATGATTTTTTTTTTTGTTTTTTGCAAGGGACAGTACATCTTTAATTATAAAAGATAAATCTAATAATGAAAACACTAAATTATAATTAAGGTAATAATTATATCAACGATTTACACTCTGGACACTATATCACATCTGTATGATGATAGTCCTGATTACACAAGTTTCTGTTTAGCTTTCCTTTTTCCATTGTAGTGAAATACACTAAAGGCTTCTTTTTCAGGAAATGCTACATAAGCATAGTATTATCATTATAATACGGTAATAACAAAGCTAGAAGCATGAAATCAACCACAGACTTTAGAGTAAGAAAACTGATTCAGAGTATCAAAGTATTGAAGTATTCAAATATGATGAGACAAAAATGTTACCCCAATATTTAGTATGTCTCATGGGCCTTGCCTGGGGTGTGGATATACACCCAATGACAGCAAATCAGTTGCACTAAGTGAGTTAAAATACTAAAAATGACCATTAAGTTTTCATTGGAATAAGGATTTAGTTCTTTATTTTCATTTTTTTCCGCATTTCTTAAAATTTAATTGGCACCATCCCCTCCCTTCCCCTCACAGGATGAAACCAGCGTACACTTATGGTGATCTCACCAACATGCATCTCATTTTATGCACAGACCTCGCATATCTTTAAGAAAACTCACCAGGAACTGATAATTGCGAGACGTCTGGCACTACGATCAACGTTCCAGTGAAATCGCATTTGTCACCAGCTTGTGGCAACTCCACAGCTTCTGCTCTCAACACAATGTCCACACTGAAATGATTCAATAAAATAGTAAAGTTTGCTAATTATACTTTCGCATTGTTATATTTGAAAAAGAAACAAGCGAAACAAGAGAAATTTTACACCAAATAAAAACCCAAAGTACAGGTCTGGCTCCAATTAAAGACCATAATTTGGAAAGGAGTTTTCCAGGCGGCTTTGGTCATTAAATAGAAAAATTATCATCATAAAGATAAAAGATAGGCAATCACCTGGAACTGCATAAAGGTAGATGGGTCTATAATTGGAGGGGGTCTTTAATTAGAGGGAGCCCTCTATGTGATGCCCTAAGCCCAGACTGACCAAATATCTTGAAAAGTCACCGTGCTTGGGCAAATCAACAATTAATTTTATTAACTGTAGGTTGTTTTACAACTTACTACAAAATGTTTCATTCATTTCATTGTAACTTCATTGGGTAAAGAATATACTATACGCTTTATATTACAAATCTAGATCATGCTTGTTTCATAACTTCAACCTACTAATCACTTTATTTGTTGAATAGATCTTGAATATAGAAAGAAACTAGTCAAAATAAATTAAGCAGAATATTCAAGACTTCACAATACAAGATGCATGGGAACATCGCAACTACAGAAAGAATTAATCTCTCTGATCAGATTTTACAACTTTTTCAAAACAAGAGAGGAAGTTGTCAAGTAAAACCACCTACCTTCTAGGAATACTTCCACGAGGGAGCTCTGCTTGTGTCTCTTGAATGCGCACCTTCTGGAAATCTACGAACCGTGACTTGTTTGTATCGAGCTGAAATCTGGTTCTATTGGCACAAACTGGATTTGGACAGATGGTTGGCTAAAAAAAAAACATGTCCGATTTCTTTCATTAGAAAGTTTTGCTAATTTCAGGCCATGTATTTGGGCAACTTACAAAATTTACTTTGATACTGTTGTGCTCGAACAGATCCTTACTGATCCTGTGTAATTAGCAGGTCAAAGCTTAAATTAACTTTTTAAAGCTTTTCTATACTTTAACAGTGCCAGTATCTTAAATTTCCTGATGAGTGTTCTTTTGTGTTATTCTGTATAACACCTATGAGCTCTCACTGACTAAAGTACTTTTGCCAGAACCATGGGCTTCAAATCGGCTACAGAGCAAAACAATAAAATGCAGAGAATGCTAAAGCAGACAGGGTTGCACTTAGTACCACACTGGGCTCAATGTTTTCCAGCCCATTGTAGCCAGGGCCTCAGGCTTCTTTGCTACATCACTGGTTAACAATTCTTATTAAATAAAACATACCTGTGTGAATTTGAATTGTTGTTCAATGCCTTTGATGACCACCTGACAGTCCATGCAAATGAATGTGCCAGCAACCAGCTCCGGGTGAACAGGATGCGTGCGTACCACTTGCCCGCTGATTCTTGTCAATGTACCGATCTTCACCGTTGTCAATTCTCGTACTCTGTATAAAAATTTAAACCAGAGCTATGTACATTATAATTTCTACAGTTAAATTTTCTTTCTTATAGTTTAATTTCTTATACTATTTTATTTATCTTACAGGAAAGGTCTGTTTTAATTGCAGCATAATTAGGCTACATTGCAAGACAATGTCACACTGGGTTGTGAATTTTAAAGCAAAATGTATACCTGCCAACTCTGTTGGCACCTGAAGCGCAAGACAAAAACAAATTTGTATATAGCGCCCTCTATAAAAAAAAATCACAAATAAAGAATCACCTCTTTGTTAAAATATTAATTGTAGTCAGCTGGTATAGTTTTGTTAAAAAGAAATTTATACAGCCTGTATTGACATTTTAACGACGAATTCACTTTATTTTTTATTCACTTTACCTTTTATAAAATTGTTATGATGCCCAAGATAATACAACATAGCTGTGAGACGCAAGAAGTGGATGCTCATGCGTGAGAGTTGGCAGGTGCAAAAATGCAATTAACATTGTACTTACTTGTGTCTTGTAGGTACATCTTCAAAGGCAACATAGAATTCCTTGGTTGGTGGTATCTGACTTCTGTCTTTTGCAAAGTTTCGCACTGCTCTACATAGATATGGGTAGACCCTACAACATGTACAAGAAATATATTGCATGCATCAATATAACATTACAATTGCTTAAGACTATTTTAACTGTTTTAGATGAAAAAAAACCAATTTATTAAATAAATGGGGCAATGGCAGGAATGAGAAGTCTTCTAAAAATCCAACTAAAACTAGGAGAATTGGTCTCTTGTAACATCACACAACAATTTTGGACTCAACAAAAACTCCAAGAACATGTGCAATGCCTCCTACCATCATTCGCACACTTTTTGCAGTTCCTTCATATAATATAATTCTTATATTATTATTATTATTATTATAGATATTAGATTGTCTGGTAATCAATTTTATGCACTATTGTAGTGAAAGGTCTAGAAAGTGAAAGGTTTAGAAATCAATGGATATACAGATCTGTGTTTCATCTAAATCAATAATATACAGTACTGTATTAGATAAGATTTCAATGTTTTAACATTAAATGTTCAAGACACCATTCAGTACTTAGTTAATTATTCAGTGCATACATGGACAAATTATTGATTCCAAAATAAAAGAATGAATGAATGAATGTATTGATAATCAGACAGGTTATTTCCTTGGGAAAACCCCAAAACACATCATGTTATGAAGGAGACTTCTATGGGAAAAACCCACACTATTGAATTGCTATGGGGAATAAACCAGGAAATTTCCTGAAAAAAAAAATTATAATAGATAATACTTTCTGAAAAAATACTGGCTGTGAATTTGCAGTACTGAGAAAATTGCCTTCTGATTGGCCATCCATGAAAATTATAGGACACACTCTGAGCTTATAAGACAGGCTCCCAGCAGGAGCATGCGTTTACTGTTTGCCATAGTTTTTCTTGGGCCACTTTAAACTCACAATTCGGCGGCAGTAGGCCTAATAATGTCCTAGGACAGGCCTAGGCATGGCATCATTATTTTGTAGGCTTACAAAATATAGCCTCTGCATGACTCTTCAACCGCAAGAAAAAGACAGTTTCTATCATTAGACATTTCTATTTTTAGCCATCATTCCTCCAACCATAATTATTCTTACACCAAATATTCTTACCCTTATAGGATAGGAAAGTGTTTACTACCCTCACAAGCAGGCAGGAGACACAAAAAAGATCATCAATCAGTTTCTATCTATTACATATTGGCTGGCACTGCACTGTGGTTATTTCATGTGCCCTGGGGCATTTAAAATTCCAGTTTCAAAATTGAAAAAAGACAAGATTATTTGTTACTATATTTACATATATTACACCAAGAAAATACACATCTCTGCAATTTCGGGTAATTTTAGTCTGTTACAAAAACTTTTATATGTATCATGACGAAAGGATTAAATTAAAAGATATTGAATTTTTGGTCCATAAATCTGTGGCCGATGGGGCTAGATCTTTTGGATGGGGAAATAAGACACCTCCCCCTGCTAGTTCTGCAACTGCGCAAATACAAATGTTCCCAACCTGTAGTGAGACTAAGAAAGTACCATCACCAAAGCAGTAAAAAAAATGTTTTTTTCTTTTTTTGGACCAATGAGTCATGGATGACAGGGGCTTCGTTTCACCGCCCAACAGATGTCACCCTTCCCCTCAGGTGGCAAAACCAAAGCAGTTATGTAGAAAAGTCACCTACCTGTAGTATTCTTCCTGTATGGTTGTAGCCAGCTGTTGGTTATAACATTGGATATCATCATAACTAACAGTCAACGTGTTGCGTTCCGGACGAATCAACTCCTCAACATCCTGCTGATATTTAAGGTCACCATCAACCGTGTACCTATCAAATGCAGAGGGAAAAAAAATGTGCAACTTGCTTTAACTTGGTAAAATCTTTAAAGTCCTAGACCAAGCAGTGGTCGGGACATTCTTTCTGTTCTGGTGGGTAATTGCATTCATCCTGACCAACCTCATGATATAAATTTCCTTTTCTGCTACAAAAAAAAAATTATTAGTGTGTCCTTGGATCACACACAAAAGAAAAAAAAATGTTTTTCTCTCTATACTGGTTCCTAAACCTGGTTTCTTTAAAATCGCTACTGTTGGTTACAGTGTTTTCAGTGCAATCGGTATACTGCTTAGCAGTCCCCACTGACCCAATCGGGAAGGCTCCTCGATTCGACCGACCGATCAACATCACCGAAAGCTGTCCGCGATAGTGTGTAGCGATTATATGGAAACCAAGCTTTACAGGAAAATAATATTCTTTTATTGGACCCATAGAAAAATGACAAGAATTTACCTAAGGGTTATGTATATCACCATGGCGGTATAAAAAAGATATCACGCAATGTCTTTACAGATAGCTGATTAAACATATCAGAATAATTGCTAAGTCGATCTACTGTACTGTAATTTTATATGTCAAATTGTTGTAGTTTCCATTATTTGAAGTAACAAAATTGCATTGTTACTTTTATGCTGTTGAAATAATTTTTTATTCCCGCATCAATATTTCCCAATTTTTTGACGCGGGAGGGAGTGATAATCTAATAAATTTTTCTATTTGCCCTTAGGGCTAGGTTTTAGACTGCCGATCGAGTATCGCTGATCGGCATACGAATGTAAAGCCAATATTTTCGGCTGAATTCAAGCTCAAATAACTTTTAAACCTGTTTTGGGTTACTACAAAGGGAAATCTGCGTGTTGTTAGAAAAATGTTATATTACTTAGGCCTAGGGCCAAATTTTAAGAACGCTGTAGGTAGCTAGATACAAAACCAATAGAGGGCGCAATAGATCGGCAATACAAACATCGCGATAGAAAATAGTGCCCCGACTCAGATAGGATATTCAATGTATTAAATGTGTATTTCGCGGAAGTATACCACAATTTGGCCGAATTACTTCCAGATAACTCTCCAGAAATGATTTCCAGACCAAGTTATAAGCTTTTTAAGCGCACGATTGATTTAGTAGAAGTATTTTTGAGTACGACCAATGTTTCGTCGATTTTCAATAATAAAAGGAAACATTCTCTAGTTTTTTGGATAACGGGTTTGTTTTCTTCAGTTTTTAAACCATAAAGGTAAGTAAGTTTTAAATAATATTTGTGTGCATATTAATTAAAATAGATGGCATAAAATATCATACTTCTGTTGTCTTATCGAGTACCGAAGCTAGGCTCAGCTCCTACGAATAGAGGGCGCCCTCATTATTTTTACGGCAGCTACACGCTGGTTAAATGATGTTTTCCCACTGGCTACCGTGTTGTCTGAGCCCTGAAATTAGGCCTAGAGTTATGAGATTCAATGTAATATATTATACGTAGAATCTATAAATTTGTAACGATTATGATATCTAATATAAATATACCGAATTATAGTCGTTAGTAATTGTCAAGCATTATTTTTAGATGAATAATCACATTTAAAAAGCTTCTTTTTTAAAGTTAAACTTTATTTTTTTTAATTTTATTTTCTGAAATTAATAATATTAATGTAGGTCTAGTTCTATGAAACAAATTGTAATACTGTAATCTCAATATTATATTTATTATCAATTAATTATTGTTAACATTGCAGATATGAAGAGTGGCGATTTAGTAGTCATATGGAACTGATGTTAAATCAAATTTAAAAAAAGATTTAATGTATTTATATCTGTATATTTTGTTGTCAATTTTTGGAAACTGACCGTGATAATACTTTATTAATAATAAAATTAGTAATAATATTAATACAAGGTATTTAATAAACTAATAACAATTATGACAGTAATATAAAATAATATTAATGCACAATAAATAATTTTAAAACTCGCTAATTACCCAAATTTACACTCTATAAAGGTATTAACTCATATTCATAATTAAACCTTTAACCATTACTGGTGAACTTTGACCTTAAATAGTGACCTTGACATGTGATGATGATCGATGACCTGATGTAATAATTACATAATTACAATGTGATGTTACATCAATAACTACAGATAAATACAGCGTAATTAACATAGCCTAAAGTAAGGGACACATTTTTTGTATAATAAAAACATTAGGAATTAACTCCAGCAAAAACATATTTAAAATAGCAATATCTCAACTAATAATAATATTGGTACGATTTACATAATTTTTGTTTTAAAATGCTTCATTCAGTTTATGTCTTTCTTTTAAAAATAAATAAATAAAATATTTGTGACATTTCAATGTTTCTAGCTACTGTAGGCCTATATAGGCACCACACATTGTTTTGTAGTCTAGTTTTTCCCCCCTGAAAAGTCGCACCTCCTTACTTGAGGTAGCGCCGCCAACTTAGCAGTGCACGGTAGGGGAGCCATAAGCTTATCCTTGTTGGAAGCTACCGGAGCTCAGCAAACTGACGCCGAGGTACCTGCGTGTACACGCTAGTGATGGCGACGCTATCGCAAAATCGGGGGTGCGCACTCCCCCTACCACCTTCACGTTCTTTTGTCTTTGTTTCTTGTGGTTTCAAAAGCGCCTTGAGACGGTTTTCTGTGGAAGGCGCTATATAAATATACGACCATTGACCATTGACGTCACGCACTTCAATTAGTGTCATTAACCCAGTTCAGCCCAGCGTGTTTTTGTCAACAAAGGCCTTAAGAAAATATTCATATAAAATGCTTTTTGATTGGTTGAGACGTTTTCATCAGGTCACTCAGGGGTCGAAGTAGTACGCCATTTTGATTTTTTCTGAAATCGTTTAACTTTTATCGAAGTTATCAACTTTTGAAAATTTCATTAAAATTTGTCATTTTTTTCAGAGAATTGCGAGTAATAAAGTTCAATTTTTTAATAATGAAGATTAGTTTATATATCTATGAGTTTATTTGCCAAAAATGAATGTAATATGAGGTGTAGCAATATTTTTTTTTGGCACCGCAAAACCTACGACCAGCTGTTGATTGGCCGTCGTGTACACATTGTCACGAGGTAAACCATAATGATCTTAACGAAAGTCTGCATATAAACAGCAATATTTTTCATGTAAATAAAATAAATATAAGTTCAAAAAGTTAACTAAATGATACTTAAAGTATTAAAATATACTTTTAAGCTAATGATTATCCAAAAAAATAGTTAAATATTAAGGATTGAAGTGGATTTAAACATAGGATGATTTTGTTGCGAGAGGATTACGTCATGCGTAACGGCCAAAGAAACTTGTCATTTGAAGTCTGGTGAGGGATAGTTTTACTTCTACATTACCACTGGTAATATTTTTATTTTTCATTTGCTTAACTTAATTTAGTATAATTATTATTCCCAGCCCCAAATAACTCAGAAATAACCGGGATGGTGTCCGGTGGGGGATAGTTTTACTTCCAGATTAATTCTGGTTATAAATTTTTCATATATCTATATATTTATATACTGTATAGTCTTTATTATATTATAGTTTGCGAAATTATATACACCATTAAAAGCCTGTCACAAATTGCGCTAACATTTTGACGGACAATGCAATTACTCTGAGAATGCAAGCACAATAAGACTTTTTTTTATGACTTATTCTTTTATTTATTTATTTTTTTAAATTAATTAATTTATTTATTTTCATTTTTTTCCCGAATTTCAATTTCAGAATTGTGGGAGAAAGGTCATCTGAAAAATTTTTAAATTTTTGGGTTGTTGTGTATTAAGGCTACATGACCAATGTAATTTGCAGTAAAAATTTACAATCAAAATGTACACTATTTTTTAGCATTTCCAAAAATCAACAGAAATATATGGCAAAAAGTGACAGAAATATTGTTAACATGCAACTTGCTATTCACGTACTCAGAAACTTCAAATGTTTATAAAACCATAACCTCAAATAAAGTTTTTTTTATGATACTGAGAATGAGTAGTTTTTTGTGCTATTTTTTTTTTTTTTTTTATATTCAACTTTGTATTCATCATGTGGTACCTAGGGCCTAGGCTCTAGAGAGTCTAGCCTAGGCCTAGTAATATAACAAATTCGATCCAACTCGGCCACAAGTCAACTCGGCCACAAAAAGTTTGGCTACAGTGAACTCTGCCACAAGTCATCTCGGCCACAAATCATCTCGGCCACAAATCAACTCGGCCACAAGTCATTTACTGGTACTACATTGTACTAATTGTTATTATTATTGCTGTTATTATTGTTGTCATTGTTGTTATTATTATTGTTGT